TAATTTTCAACAACACATTAACACATTGCAGATTGCAATTTTCTTCCTGTAAATTTCAGTTCAGCTAATCCAAGGGCCAAATAGACTTTCTGATTATTTCTCTATAATGTTATTCTCCATGAACTAAATCCAGATCGCTCACAAAATATACAGTCAATTTACTTTTCAGTATCTTCTGTGAAGCGCTTTGAGGCGCCTCAAAGACGTAATAAGGCGCTATTAGAAGTAGTGCCACTGGCTTTATGACAATATTCTTACTTTGAATACTTTAAATCAAATGCAAGAATTATTATTATATTCTGAGCTAAGCATTTTTATGGACAAGCAGGAACCAGATTACAGTTCTATGTTATGAAACTCCGCTAATAAACAAAAATAGATGTTAAACTGAAAAAGGTAGGCAAATGTTATAATTTCTACATTGTAAATGGTAACATACTCACAAATCCTCCCCCCAAAAAATGGCTACTTAAATATTTGTTCTTTGGGGGCTTCTGCTGTGCAGATTGACTGCCATATTTGCCTTCATTACATTCACTATATTATAAGTAACTCTTTTAATAAGCACTCAGAGACATTTTGACATGAGGAGGAGCAATAAGATGTTGCATTTAATTAAGTTATTTCATTTATTATAATATTGTTCCATTATCCGTTTATCTACTGAATCACTAAATTAGGCCCCACCTGCCTTGTAATTTAGACAGATGTTAAAGAATCTCCTGTGCTTCCATTTCCTGGCATTATATCAAAAGTGGGGGAATTCTCTGTTATCCTGGCTAACACATCTCCCTACACACATTTACCTGTATTCAAAGTAAGAATATTGTCATAAAACCAGTGGCACTACTTCTAATAAATACTAATAATCCTTATATTCACTAGAAAGCCTTTCATTTCATTGGGAGGACATCCCAAAGTGCTTCACAGGATATACTGAAATTGGCAAATATATGGTTGAGGAAGATGTACTGGCACAATAACTTGCGTTTTCATAGAACAGAACAAAAGTGGGACTGTCGGATTGCCATGAGAGGATATACAGGAAGCACTGGGGATAATTGTTAAAAGGGAAATGGTATTGAACAGTTAATGGAACACTAAGTTCATGGCTGCGTTTCGCCCACAATATATACAGTCAATTCACTTTACGGTATATTCTGTGACGCGCTTTGAGACCTCTGGAAGACATGATAAGGCGCTATATCAAATGCAAGGATTATTATTATAAGTGGAAAAGTCACAGGCCAGTATTCCGTAATATAGAATAGATAGAAGTCATGGAAGAACCAGTAGATGTTCGGACCATAATATTCCAAACACCTTTGGAATAAATATTGTGCCAGAGATTGGTGTTTATTTAATACCCCAGTTAAGAATCTGGAGTGAAAACTGGAAGAGATTATTTGAGAATCCCTCCTCAAGACACCCTCTGCATTATAGAAGTGCGAGACCTTCACACGTAGAGGCAAGTGCCTCCAAAAATGCCATTATAACACTTTCAGAAATCATCTCACATCATTTATTTAAATTGTTACATTATTGATAATCAAGGGCGCATTTCTGTGGCTTCTTTTATTAAACATTTTTTTTATGGAACTAAAATTGACAGAACATCGACACGGTAATAGAGTGCAGAGCTAATCTTTGGAGCAGCATTGAGTTTGGGTAATTGCACATCAAGATCACATCAATAATATACTTGGTGCATGGAATGTTGCAACAGTTTGTACGATTTAGAGAAACTGGATTCTGTGCTGATATTTGTTTGTATAAATATCAAAAAAAATTGGGACATTGGGACAGTCTGTGCACAATTGGCTGCTGCGTTTTGCCCACAAAATATGTAATCAATTCACTTTACAGTATATTCTGTGAAGCTCTTTTAGCCATCTCAACGACGTAATAAGCCTCTATGTCAAATGCAAGGATTATTATTATAAAACATTGCTGGAGCAGATTAGTTGTTGAGATTTGTCTACATAACAACATTCATTTAATTTTTATTCATTTTGTTAAGCAAAGTGCCCCAGGAAATTTTATTTGTAACATGCTCACCTTCAGATGACTCATTTAACTGAGGTCCCATCTGCCTGTTCAGCTGGACATTAAAGATCCCATGGCACTATTTCAAAAGAGATGGGAGTGTCTCCCGGTTTCCTGGCCAACAAGCCCCTAGAAAAAATTAGCCATTTGTCATGGCTGTTTATGGAGCATTACTGTTCTTAAATTGGCTGCCACATTCACCGACAAATGTACAGTTACTACACTGTACAGTAAATTCTGTGTAATGTCTTAATGCCATGATAATTTGCTGCATCAAAATTAACTATTATTATGAAGCGAAGAATGTTAGAGAAACGCAAGTTGTTGATATTTGAGGGTTTGATGTAATTGATAATGTTTCACAACAGGATCTTCTGACCTTTAACTCTTTGGTGATGTCACCACCTCCAGGTTATCAGGAAGTGAAGTGAAATCAACCCTTGGGGAAAAAAGAATAAAGCAATTACTGGATTGGGGATTAATTCAGAAAGCCATTCAGAAAGCAAGGACTTAAATGCAAGTCTAACCTCCCTTTCCGCCCAGTTTCAATTCAATTCAAACAACATTAAAATTGATTTTAGCATCATAATATATAACCAAAAAAATGGAACAACTGGAAACATGTGGCTGCATTTGCTATGATCTTTCCACACAAAAAATGCTCACTGAAGGCCTTGGGAACGATGAAAGGGAAGCATAGCATACTGCAGAGGTGAAGTTTAAGGTGGATAATAACAACAATAATAATCCTTGCATTCAATATAGTGCCTTATCACGTCTTCGAGACATCTCAGAGCACTTCAGAGAATATACTGTAGAGCGAATTGACTGTATATTTTGTGGATGAAAGATGTCTAGGATTGTCTGAGCCTGGAGCAAATGAAACATGGAACAGTGTGAGAAAACATCTGACTCACTGCGTGTCTCCGCTTCCTTTGCCAGCAGATGGTGTGGTCTGCCTTCTGCGCAGCCAAGTATCAATAATTAATCCCCATTTCCATCATCACTGATCGATTCCAAACACGTCATATCATTACTTACTGCAAAATTAGTATACAAAATGCCTTTGTGGCTCTTTCTTGGAATCGTTAGTCCAATAATGCTATCATATATATATATATAGGCATAATCCCTTTCATGATGTTCATTTGCCCCCCAAACTTTACCAGTAGCTAAAATAAATCAGTGGCTGTGTATTTTGGGTGCAATTATGTCATTTGTGCAACCACTTTGAACAGGGTGAGTGAGACAGAAAGAAAGAACGAGGGAGAGGGAGAGAGCTCCAGTAATGTCAGTATGTGTTAACCAGAAACCATCTGCCTACGTTCCTGGTAATTTAATGCACAAAGTACAGCGTCAAATATATTTATATATTTATATACTTTGTCTTAAAAAAAATGTGAGTGAGCCAACCCTCTTGCCAGTCAGTGAGGTCATGTTATGCAGTGCCTCTATCTCTCTCTGGATGGGAACTGAAGCAATTTAAAGAACAGCAAACATTCCTCCCTCTATTACTGTCCTCTGAGCTGACAGTGTTCATATTTCCCGTTTAACGTAACTGATGGTCGGGATTTAAATACCTTGGGGAGGGAGGGAAAGAGGGCGATTTTCTGAGACAGGGTTAGTCAGTAAAGACGTCATCCTGAGAGCTACGTCTCACAGTTGTTTGCTAGTCTGCTCCAGAGCACACACACATACACTCACATAGCATCCAGCCCTAGCCTGGGAACACACTCACACACAGCATCCCAGCCTGGGAACACACTCACACACAGCATCCCAGCCTGGGAACACACTCACACACAGCATCCCAGCCTGGGAACACACTCACACACAGCATCCCAGCCTGGGAACACACTCACACACAGCATCCCAGCCTGGGAACACACTCACACACAGCATCCCAGCCTGGGAACACACTCACACACAGCATCCCAGCCTGGGAACACACTCACACACAGCATCCCAGCCTGGGAACACACTCACACACAGCATCCCAGCCTGGGAACACACTCACACACAGCATCCCAGCCTGGGAACACACTCACACACAGCATCCCAGCCTGGGAACACACTCACACACAGCATCCCAGCCTGGGAACACACTCACACACAGCATCCCAGCCTGGGAACACACTCACACACAGCATCCCAGCCTGGGAACACACTCACACACAGCATCCCAGCCTGGGAACACACTCACACACAGCATCCCAGCCTGGGAACACACTCACACACAGCATCCCAGCCTGGGAACACACTCACACACAGCATCCCAGCCTGGGAACACACTCACACACAGCATCCCAGCCTGGGAACACACTCACACACAGCATCCCAGCCTGGGAACACACTCACACACAGCATCCCAGCCTGGGAACACACTCACACACAGCATCCCAGCCTGGGAACACACTCACACACAGCATCCCAGCCTGGGAACACACTCACACACAGCATCCCAGCCTGGGAACACACACACTCACACACAGCATCCCAGCCTGGGAACACACTCACACACAGCATCCCAGCCTGGGAACACACTCACACACAGCATCCCAGCCTGGGAACACACTCACACACAGCATCCCAGCCTGGGAACACACTCACACACACACAGCATCCCAGCCTAGGAACAGAGGATAAGCACACAGTCACACAGCATCCCAGCCCCAGCCTGGGCACAAACACACACACACTCACTCACACACCAGACCAGTCTCAGCACACAACACACACACACACACTCACACACAGCCCCAGCACACAGCACACACACACACTCTCACACACAGCCCCAGCACACAGCACACACACACTCTCACACACAGCCCCAGCCTGGGCACACAGCACACACACACACACTCTCACACACAGCCCCAGCACACAGCACACACACACACTCTCACACACAGCCCCAGCACACAGCACACACACACTCTCACACACAGCCCCAGCACACAGCACACACACACACACACTCTCACACACAGCCCCAGTCTGGGCACTGGGGACCCTCAGCACCGCAGGAGAAGCATTCTGATGGTCTGTCTGCTCCCTGGATAAGGAGAGGAGTGGAGAGAGAGAGAGAGAGAGAGTGAGAGTGAGAGGGGAGGGGAGAGGAGAGGAAGGAGAGAGCTACGTTGGAAGTGATTCAGCAAAGCCATCCCCCTGTGTGGCTGAGAGAGGAAAGTGAGGCGCTGCGGTTTACAGTCAGTGCTGCGTTGGTGCCTTTCAGGACCGTGGACAGAGCGCAGAGCAACATGGCCCCAGTGGTGGTTGGAGGATCCACCTTCGGTAAGCACTAACCCATCCCTAGTCCAGAGGAGATTTGCTGGGGGAGAAAAATACACAAGGCTAAGCCTTGTTCTGCGCTGTGCAAAGCGACAGCCACTCACTGCTCGTGGTTCTGCGGTGCTATTTGGAGGCAGTTTTGCCATTTCAGCTGAGACTTGCCTCTTGCACCCAGGTTTGCAGCCTGTGGGGAAGTGATGTTCACTTGCAGCGAATGCCGAATGCAAACTGCGGGTCTTATGGCATTGTATTTTTCTTAAAAAAAGAAAAAGAAAAGCAACTGATGTACAGCAATAGGCGTGTGGGGCTTCACTCTATTGTGGCTGGGCTGCTTGTCCGTTTTGTCGACTGTCGATTCCCCCAGTGGAGCTGCTCTGAATCTGTCTCCCTTTTGATCTCCAGTTGCTGTCTGGCTCTTGTGTTTATTTATTTCCCCATCAAAACTTCTGGATTGGTTCATTTTGTGCGTGTGTGTGTCTGTGTCTGTGTGTGTCTTGCCCTGTTTCTCGACCGGGTTCGGTCCATTTTCCTTTCTGATTTTTTGCTTCTGGAGATTTCTCAGGTCCTGGGGTGTGTGTGTGTGTGTCAGGGGGGTGGTGGGTGGTGGTAGGAGGGAGGCAGTTGTTTGGTTCTGTCTGCATTCTGCGCACTCGTTAATATGGGTATGAGACAGGATGATCTTCCGGGAGTCTCACTGACTGAAATTGCAATGATGTTAGCTTGTTAATAAGGCATAAGGCATGAGTCAGAATAATAATAATAATAATAATGCTGGCTTTTGATGTGGCGACTTATCGCATCTTTAAGACGTCTCACGGCGCTTCACTTCACAGAATATACTGTAAAGTGAATTGACTGTGTGTTTTATGGGCAGAATTGCTGTTAGTTATCAGTTATTTGGAGCACACATTGATGCATTGATGTAGCATTGCAAAATTGTACAGAAGAAACACCCTCCCCCCACCCCTTAAATCTCACAATGATGGTCTGTCTGACTCTAAAGAAAAACAAGCTATCTGCGGTAGCTATCTGCACTGTTCAGATATATTGGACCTGCCTATTTATGACAAGTGAAATATTAAATCACCAAGACAGGATTGGAACGTGTATTGTAAAGTGTGGGGAAATCTGATGGCAGAGTGCATTTTGAACATTTTTTAAAATTGAATTAAGATTAATTGATAATTTTACTGACTGTCTGGGTGCTTTTTTTGTCTAGATGAGATGCCTGCTGTGATAGGAATATTCAGTGCTTTTGGCCTGGTATTTACCCTGTCCATGTTCGCATGGATCTGTTGTCAACGCAAGTCCTCAAAGACCAACAAGACACCTCCCTATAAATTCGTGCACATGCTGAAGGGAGTGGACATCTACCCCGAGAATCTGAACAGCAAAAAGAAATTCGGGGGCGATGAGAAAACGGAGCTGCAGGGGAAAGAGGGCTCGGCGAGAGTAGGAGTGCCAAAGCCAAAGCCAAAGGGCAATCTGCACTTGGACCTAGAGAGCCGCGACCAGAACGGCAACTTCACCAAAACCACCCCCAAAGTGCGGAGCTCCCCCGAGATAGAGACTGTCCTCCCCAAGGGAGTGTGTCAGGGCGAGAAAAACAGCGCGTTCCTCAATGCTTCCCCTTCAGACAAGCTGACTGCAGAGCCAAGCACTGAGCCCAGGCTTGGCTCCCTCATCTTCTCCCTGAAGTACAACTTTGACAAGAAAGCGCTGCTGGTCAACATCATTGAGGCACTGGGTCTCCCCGCCATGGACGAGCAGTCACTGACATCCGACCCCTATATTAAAATGTCCATCCTTCCTGACAAAAAGCATCGAGTCAAAACCAGGGTCCTCAGGAAGACCCTGGACCCTGCTTTCGACGAAACCTTCACCTTTTATGGCATCCCCTACAGCCAGGTGCAAAATCTCTCCCTGCATTTCCTGGTGCTGAGTTTCGATCGCTTTTCAAGGGATGATATCATCGGGGAGGTGATGGTGCCCATGTCCGGGATCAACCTGTCGGAGGGTAAAGTGCTTATGAACAGGGATATCAGCAAAAGAAACTGCCGGGTAAATATATGAGGCGTGGGGTGTGTGTGTGTGTGTGTGTTTGTTGGGGCAGGGGTGGGGGTGGGGTTCAGTTATGTGCAACTATGTTTGGTGCGAATAATAATTCTTGCATTTGTGATAGCGCCTTATTACGTCGTTCACAGTGCTTCATAGAATATACTGTGAAGTGTTGATGCAGGATGACTATATAAATAGCTCTTCGGTTACTGAGAGGAGAATGAGAAGGAATGGAATCACTGACGTTAGTGACTAAAGCAGCTCTTGGAGCACTCTACACAAACAGGAATATTTGATCCTCCAGAGAGAATGATGAACCACTTCGCAGCAGCTCAGTTAAACACGTGGGGCTATTTTTTTATAGAGAGGCTGGGTTTGAGAAATGATTACATCACCAGAAGCTCACACAGACACGCAGCAGCCTGCATGCAGTGTTTTGTAAGCTGCGATTTCCACTTTGCTTAAAGTGGAATGCAACACATCCTCAAATTGAACCGAAAACGTAAAACTTTTTTATTTGAAACAGTCTCCTCACAAAGAAAGGGCAATCTAGCCAGTATATATTAAAAACTCTATATAGCAATGTGTTCAGATTGGGAGATTTTAAGAAACAACTTTCAGATCAAAATGAATGAATGGGGTTTATTAATATGCCTTGTATCACCCCCTCAAAAAAATAATGAAAATAATAATTTGGTCACTCAATCCACGACTGTTTGTGGGACACTGGTGTGGCAATTGGCTGCCATGTTTCACCCATAAAAATATACAGTCAATTCAATTTACAGTGTATTCTGTGAAGCTCTTTGAGGCATCTCAACAACGCGATAAGACGCTACATCAAATGCAAGGACTCTTATCACTCAAATCATTCCCGACACATTTCTTTGCAAATGACTCTCATTTAAAAAAATACATAACTGCAGCTCTTTTAAAAAGAGTATTCACATTGTTAAAGATCAAGGACAGTAACAGAAGTCCAGCGATTGCTTTTCAGAGCAAATAAAGATGAGCACAGAATGCACTAATGGGGTCACCGATCAATACAGGAGAACAGCGAGGAAAAACAGTAGTGAAGCAGTGCAGAAATCATTGAGAAACGCAGCTTTAATTTGGGAAGGTTATTTAACTGTGCTGCTGAACATGATATGACTGCATTCACCAATATTGGCAGTTAAGGTGCCACTCAAATGTGAGCAGGCTTCACTTAGGGAGTTTGTTGCTGTCACACTCCGGTGAACGCAATAACGGCAGACTGGTTCTGAAAGATCTGTCATCTGTTTTGTTCACAGAAATCGTTGGGACGCGGAGAATTATTAGTGTCTCTTTGCTACCAATCCACCACCAATACTCTGACTGTTGTTGTGTTAAAAGCTCGTCACCTGCCGAAGAACGATGTGTCTGGCTTATCAGGTAATTGTCCAAGACCCGGGTGACCGGTCAGTGAAGTGGCACTGCACATAACAGCACAGTGAGATTAATCTATCTGACAAGTCCACTGCCGCTCTCTATGGCGTGGGAAAAGTTATTCACATATTGAAAATATACTTCAAACAGTGATTTATGACTAAAAATTTGACATTTAACCCTCACGTGTAGAAGTGTCTAGCCACGTGTTAGTTCAGTCACGTGTTTGATGGAACACATTGCATTTCAGATCTGGTATATAAAAGTTAAGAAAGACGGTTGCAGAGGAAACGCCATCCTGACAAAGTGTGTTGTTTTTTCATTCTTCCCCAGCTGCAGATCCTTACGTCAAAGTGAACCTATACCACGACAAAAAGCGAATATCCAAGAAAAAGACCCATGTGAAGAAGTGCACCTTGAATCCCGTGTTCAACGAGCTGTTTGTCTTTGACATTCCATGTGAGGGGATTGAAAACATCAGCGTTGAGTTTCTGGTCATTGATTTCGACCGGATGACCAAGAATGAGATCATTGGGCGCTTGGTACTGGGAGCATCGACTGAAGGAACAGTAGGAGAGCACTGGAGAGAGATCTGTGAGCACCCGAGGCGACAGATTGCCAAATGGCATTGTTTGAGCGATGGTTAGCAGCCAAACCAAGGGTTGGACTTTATCGTTTGATAGGCAAGGAACAAGCTGTGCATTAACCAACCCAAAGCCTTTCTGAAGAATTTTCAATTTATACTAAGTAATCTTACTTTGTACATCTGATTGTGGTATATATTGTGATCTGTACTGTATAAGATGAAGTGACGTTGTTCTCTTGTCTGCTAACGATTTAAAAAAAAAGTCAAAGTGGCTCATGGGAAGGAGTAGGCAAAAATACATCATTAAAATCCATGTCTGCATTTTGTGTGGCTGTTCTAGTGTGGGGAAAATAAGTGTAAAGGGGATTAAACTTGCAAGTGTAAATGTAAAGGTTTGCATTAAAAGATTTTACAATGCCAACCTGGAAATACTTTTCAGACCTAGAATTGAAAAGTGTTTAACATTAGATCATTCTGACTGTCGTAGCTCAGGAAGCTGCAAAAATCTATGGCCGATTTTTACCTTGGAGGTATGTTTCAAAGTTATTCACATAAGGTAGTGCACAGTAAAAATCACACCTGAGCAAATAGTCAGTATTATATAATACATCAATTTTGAAATTAGTTCAACCTCCTGTAGTTTGCGGCTTTTCAAGAACATTTGCACATTTTTGAAAGATTTATGGATTTATATGGTATTGTATGGACATGGCACATCTGACTTCTTATGTCTAGCAAGTGTCATTAGGAATTATTTGCAAGATATGGGATCCAAATTGTTCGGTTGAGGAATTCTTCACTGCTATGACTTGATTATATCACAGTAGAAACAGGAGAGTGAAGGAGGCTCTTCAACAAATGCGATTTGCAAAGAAAAACACAACTACAAACCTGCTAAGCCTGTTGGTAGAACACATTCAACTTGAAAACATTCTTTATATAAACTTCAACTTTATATATATATCCCTTGGCCAATTGTGCGTATATTAATGTCAAATAAATAGAGGGTATTCATTGAAGAGTTGCAGGATAAGATTTGCATAGCAGGAGTGGACTTATTGATGTGTCAAGGTTTAATAAAGTTGCAAGAATGTTATCGCCCCTTTATCTTTAGTGAAATGTTGCCATAACCCATTGGGTCTCATCATATGCTTTGGTTATGTTTCACTAATAAACAAATCCAATGGATAACAGGAAAGTAATAAGATGAGAGAAGTTAGGTGTGACGTTTAAATGGGAGCTGTACTGATGCATGAGTGGTTTCAATGACATTGTGATTTTTCCATAGTGGTACCTGTTTACAATTGTGATATCAACTGCATGAGATGTGAAAAATTGTATCTTGGAGATTGTGTCATTATGTGTGGTATTAGGGGTAGGGTGAATCTGGTTTAGAAGTGTGGGGAGGGGAGTTTGTGGGTCTATATAATGACTTGGTATATTTTGCCTACTCTATCTACATAGCTTCAGCTTCAAAAGTATGATAATTGCCAATACTATGAGTTTATTTCACTCCATATAGAAGCCACATTATACAATCATCTAGCTTATGTAAACCATGCTGTAAATGCACTGCGAACCATGCATTTATTATGCATGTTTGCTTTAAGCTAGATCTCAGTGACAGGTGTAGGAACGCTTGTAATATATTTAATGATTAAAACTGCTATTGATCCAACCTCAGAAACAGAATGCAACATTAAAGCCTTTAGTCACTACGAAACAAACCAGACACAATGCAAAAGTGATTATAGCTTTGAGAATGATATTTTATCTTGAATGTCAGTGTATTTAGTCAATTGGATTTTTTTTGTCACTGATCCTCATAGTTCCAGTAAAAAAATCATTGCTTAAAACATTAATGAGCACTCACTGCCCTTCATTGATCCAATCACTTGGTATCCTAATGGATCATATTTCAAGTTGCCATATGTGTTTGTTGTAGATGGTTCCAGTTAGATTTTAAGATTGATATTTATGGGTTTTCTTGTTCCAAAAGGAAAAGGGCTGCAATATACTTTTAAGCTGCTTTTTATGGGCACTCATACTGCCAGAGACAACTTTTCTGATCTTCTGATGGACAGATCAAACTATGCTCACATTCAGGAATAGGACTAAGTTGTGAAAGGTTGTCCTGTGAGGTTAAATTGTCTGGGTTTTAGCAGGGGGCAAATTTTAGATAAAATATTATACTCTTGTATGATAGACGTTAGTGCCAGTGGGTTTGAAATAGTTAAAGTGGACAGTTTAGCACAGATGAACTAGCAAGACTGAGGAGAAATTTGAGTTCTGGTGTTTTCTGGGTCAATGCATAAATAACTAATGTTACCATAATCCAGCTACTTGGAACTGTTTGATGAAATGTTGAAAATCTAATGCTAGCACGCAAATTTCATTACTATGCAGGATAGGATTTTTAGAGTCTATGAGTTGCTATGAACAAAAAAACAGGTCTACCAGAAGGCAAATTAATAATCATGGATTTGTTAGTGATTGGATAGCTGAAAGGCTGAAAGGAATACTAATACTGTGTAGTTTTCCTATTTCTTTTAATTGATAGTTACATTGGAATGTAATCAAACCACAGTATTAACTTTTCCTCCTTGAAACCAAGGAGGTTCTATTTATCAGTTGTCAAAATTAAGGTTAAATAGCCTTTTACTTAAAAAAGCCACAGATCCATCTATAACCACATACACGTAGGAAAGCTTTAAATTGTGAAAGTGATGATTTGATGAACATTAGCTTTGGTATTTAACAGCACTGTAATCAAGAACACAGCATAACTTTAGACACAGCAATGGCAATGTATGAACAAACAGTTAAAATAACTGTTCAGCTATTTCACTTGAATCTGGTAACATGTTTAACCAACATCATATTCCTTGTGTAAATTGTATAAATTGCCTTTACTATTCAAAACTGGATGGCACATTCCTAATGCAGGAATCAGAAATAATTGTCAACAGGATCAAATTTCCATTCTCAATCTGTTTGAATCATTGCAATTTTCATTGTAACTTTTATAAAATGGATGAAAGTGATTTTGCATAATTCTGAATGTGTGTGGATTAAAATTTCTGCTGTGCTGCAAGTAACATTACTCAGAAAGTCCAGCATTAAATGGTCACAACAGTAATATATTGACATGACACACTGTATAAATCTGTAAGCGTAATATGTTTTGTATGTTGCATTACGATGTGTTTACAATCACACAAATAAAAGAATGCACATATTTGCATCATGTGGTAGTAATGTAAATTACTGAAAGCAGTTGTATTTAAGACCATCTTTGTGATATTGATGTAACAGTTTAGTGCACAAATGTTTTTTTTCCTTCAACCAAAATTTAAACAATATTGAGAAAGAATTTGCCGTTCTGCTAAGTCTTGTGCCCACGTGTTTGTGTGTGTGAAACAAGAATAAAGCACTAAATGGATTGATTGAATTTTTGCATTAGAAATGTTTTTACATTGAATTTCATGGACTGTAAGTTGACAGCAAACAACAAATTACATTTGTATAGCGCCTTTCATATCATAAGGATGTCACAATGTGCTGGGAATCACCGAATTTCAAAATCACCGAAATAGGCCATTCGGCCCATCTAGTCCATGCTTGTATCTATACTCCATGTGAGCCTCCACTATTCCTAATCTCCTATCCCTATCCCTAACCTCTTCCTTACCCCACTATACCCTTTAGCTCATGCATTTACCACATGGAAATTTCAATTAGTCAGACACAAGGTTGAAATATAATATAGAAATGCAGCATCACTTCCAAATCATCTTGAACATTTGGACCAAAGTTACCAGGTATCTGAAATATGGAAGCTATTTGCAGACCTCGAGAGATTTGTTTCCGTAAGTGGATACAGAGATAAAGCCACTTTTAGGAACACTTATTTTGAAGCAATTTCCTTATATAGCTACTTTGAAAACAACTTAGAAACGTGAAATGCTAAAAATATTAAATTTCCAAAAGTAAATATGACAACTTGTAGAGAGATACAAACACATAGCGAATTATAGCCTTACGTATCAAAGATTATACACTCATATTGATTCCAGTAAAAGTAAGAGTGAATATCACAGGATTATCTGCGAATTGGCTAAGATTCTTTTAATTTGAAAGGAAATTGATGCTGGTCAGAGGTGAGTAAATTATACCAACACATAATGTATGAGGTCCATATGAAAATAGAGAAGTGAGAACCTTTAGCCTTTAGTCTCCACAAGCCTTGGCTCTTGCCAACCTATGCCTAATACTTTCCGGAATTAAGTAAGCAAGATGCTGGCTCGATTCTGATGTTCGTTGTCAAGTTGTCACCTCGGAGACAATTCAGCTCTAAGAAGACCCCGCTTACTTTTCCCCCAAGGAGGGGAAGTTTAGTGCACAAATTAGTCATTAGATGGTGAACTAAAGCAGCTTTCCTCTACACCACCAACAATATTTATAAAGCACCCGTCATGTAAGATAGTGTCTTGGAACTCTTCACAAAGACAGGGTCAGACACTGAGCAAGGAGGAAAGGGTGTGGGAGGTGGCCACAAATCAAAGTGGTTACGAGAGGTATCAGTCCCAAAGGCAATGAACATGAACGTATCTGGGGGATTTTTTTGGAACATCAAGGTAAAGGAAAGGAACAGAAAGAAAGGTTATCCATTGCCCATATATCCACTGTCAGGCCTGTCAGTTACCTACCTTCCCTTTGCCACCTCTCAATGCGGATGTCAAGCTCAAACAGATAGAGAGAAAAACCTGAAGAGACAGAACTAATGGCTGGTATAAATAAACAAGGGTGTAGAGATGCAAGACCTCATTATACGATTTCCTGGTAGAGGAGCTTTACAGTCAATCATTCTACTTTAAAGCAACAATGAAAGACAAGGGAAAGTCATGTTTTCCTTTTCTTCTTTCCCCTTCTGTTATTTCTTGCTTCCTTAACTTCCACCTAAATAGAGATCTCGGCTTAGCATCTCGTCGAAGGACAGAATAAAATGCAATAAAATCTAAATGAGGAAAACCTCACCCTCCATAAATCAACATTTTGTTTCTATTCTACAAGTTTAAAAGGAAGAAAAGCCTGGTGTTGATTAACATTTTTATTAACATGAATTCTATCTGTTGGGAGCGTAACCTCAGAAAGTTTCCCAAGTCAGAAGGGGAAAAATCACTGCAATATTTTACCAGTGTTTGCAGTAATTTTCCAAATGGCCCTGTTATACTGTCCATAGTCCATCAAGTAAAAGAATCAGGCCATTTTAGCACAGTAGGTCTGCTTCAGCAGAAAAAGACGAGTGGTTCAGCTTACAGTTGCAGATATTTCTTTGCTGCTAAAACCATTCTGATTCTGGAGATAGTGAAAAAACGACCTCTGTGAAAGTGAACCCCCAACAGCTACTGAGAGAGTACTTCCATTGACCTGCCTTTTTGATCAAAGGCAAAACGTAATAAAAATGCAGTTGATTCATCCGTTTAAGGCAAAACCCCTCCAAATAATAGTAACTCACACTGACGTCATGTGGTACTGTTGTTATATTGATACCTGCAGATGGTGCTAGAAAGAACCTTTCATCAATACAGCTCCTGCTACATTTATTGCACAATAAAGTACTCTGCCCTCAAACACATTAAATATTTATTAGCCAACTTTGCAAGAAAAGCTGATGATGGGCTAAATCAATGGAACTGAAAATACAAATATAACATATAAATCTAACAGGCAGATAATATCTGAAGGTAGATCTGGACATGCTATCTCAGCAATTCAATGGGAGTTAGGGGATTTTCTTAGTGTCCAATAGTCACTCATCACTACTTGTGCTTATGACCCTAAACTGCAATATTAGACAATTTTTTAATATGCTTTCACACAGACTGCTAATCTTGAAGTTAAAGCACAATGAATCTACTCATTTTAAAGATATCTTCAATAATAATAATCTTTGCATTTGATATAGCGCCTTATCATGTCTTCTAGCTATCGCAAACCATTTATAATAATAATAATCCTTGCTTTTGATATAGCGCTTTTCACGTCGGAAGGACATCCCAAAGCGCTTCACAGAACACACTGTAAAGTGAATTGACTGTATGTTTGTGGGCAAACGTGGCAGCCAATTGCACACAGCAATGTCCCACAAACAGTCGTGGATTGAAAATGACCAATTTATTATTGTTTTTGGTTTTGGAGGGATTATTATTAGGCGTGTGGAGTAAGGAAACTTGCCCAAGGTTTCGCCCTCTGCCTGGAATTGAACTCAGGTCTCTCGCTTGCAAAGTGAGTGCTCTAACCACTGAGCTACAGGACTCAACAATATAACTGTTAAATATTCCCGAATCTACATTTTGATTTACATTCTTGACCGGTTCAGTCAACTCTTCCAAGTATATCCCACATTGTCATCAGTAGTCTTGTTTAATTAAATATTAAAGATAAGAAACACAGAAATGCAAAGTAGAAAAAAACTACTGAAACTAGTCATAGGATATTTAAAAGGCATTAGCTAAAATTTGCTCCTTTTCCATTTCCCATAGCAAGAATAAATAGAATACAATACAGATACTTGTACTAGTCTCCTTTAGAAAGATGTCATAATCATCAAATAAATCTTTGCAGTTGTCATTTTTTTAAACGTGCTATTGCACAAGGAGCGAGATTCGATAATTGGACAGAGTGGGATACATTAATGGGCAGACACTGAATCTACATTGTCCACCCAATTGATTTTTTTCTCCTTTTGATGTCTTTTTTCCTCACAAGTCTTTGTCCTTCATTAGCAATGTTCTGCTCTATCCTCAAAGGTTTATCTTCCTTTCCTTTCTTTTGCAGAATGAATTATGATCTTCCTCTGTCAGTTATTTCATGGGTAACGCACAGGGGAACTGACCTTGACTACGAAATACTACAAAGCATGGATCAGAAGCTTTTCATGGGTCACAACAAAATCTACTTTGACAGATACACATTTCAGAGATAGTCTGAGATTCCTTGTTGCAATAGTGGCATCTGGAAAACATAGAGGGATGCTATGTGTATCCATATTTTCTAATGTGTTGTGTCTCAGAGATTTAGAAATATAACACCACATAGATGTTCACAAGTTATGATGTGTAAAAGGTGGCAGCTGTAGAACAAGGAGGAAATATTAAAATCAATGTTAAGGTTATTATTTTCATAAGCTTTATTATTACATAGACTGCACAAAATTAAAACAGGCCATTCAGCCAACAAGTCCATGCTGGTGTTTATACTCCACATAAGCCTCCATCCCTCCAAAATCCCCTCTCCCATGCCCTTCTATTAATAATAAATAATAATAATCATTGTATTTAATGTAGCGCCTTATCATGTCTTCTAGATGTCTCAAAGCGCTTCACAAAATATAGTGTAAAGTGAATTGATTGTATATTCTTTTCTCCCTATGTAATAACTATATGTTGTCACCATTATTGTTATTATTGGATGCCTCTCGAAATACTGATTCATATTGTCATAGATTGGGAAGAGTCACTCTAAGCAGTTATGGAGCCCGACATGAGACTGCAGCCATGGTCACCTCCCTATTTACCCTCCCGGTCTCCCTCCCCATCTTGCTTGGCATTCAACTCCATCTTTGTTAAGCGCTCTGAGATGCTATCCTAGATGAAGGGCACTATTTAAATGCAAGTTGTAGCGGTTGTTGAGACACATGGAAACGACCACACATATTTGCAAGTGACAGTAACTAGAAGCCTTGCCCCCTTGTTGCTGATGTGGCTGCTGTTAGCAATGTTACTGTGCCTTCTCTTTGCTGAGGCTGGTTGCAGTTCTTGGCACTTGAAGTGACGAACACCACTTCTCTGCTGTTTATTTTTGTTCTTGGCACCTAACTCCCATGTCTTGATCTTGCACTTGATGACATTTGTATTGCGAAATGTCCTTTAAACACTTGCTTGTCCTTGAAACAATTGAGCTGACTGAGAGATAGTTTTCCCTGGTTTAACCTGGTAATGGAGCAGACACTTTGTTAAGGTGCTACTCTGCTAAAGATCTACATCATTCCAGCGAATACTCAGGATGGTTTGCTCCGGCGAAATTTCTCAATCTCTTTGATGTCCCTCTTGTACATAAAAATAATAATAATTCTTGCATTTGATATAGGGCCTTATCATGTCTTCAAGACCTCGCAAAGCGCTTCAAAGAATATACTGTGAAGTGAATTGACTGTATGTTATGTGGACGAAAAGCGACAGCCAATTGCACATTGCAGTGTCCTACAAACAGTCGTGGATTGAAGTGACCAATTTTTTTTTTTTTTGAAGGAATTATTACCCCAGGAAAAGCGATCCACCAATCAACTAACAACCAGTTACCTACTTACTGCTAGGTAAACAGAAGCATGTGGAGAGAGGAAACTTGGCCAACATTTTGCCCTGCCGGGAAGCGAACCCAGCTCTCTCT